GTTGAGCTCGGCTATACATGCCTTATCGAAACATGGCATGGGTCACCCCCTGCTCAAACAAAGAAGCATGAATCTCCTCTCTCTCTCTCTCTCTCTCTCTCTTCAACTCCAACCTGGTCGGCGGCTGGCCCGGCCCTCGTCGGCTGATTCCAGTGCAAGAGCCACCTTTGGGCATTTGCGGAAGGAAAGAGCTCTCCAGCTTCGATACGCGACAGCAGAGATTTGGAAGTCGAGCAACTCTGCCATCATGACCAGGCAGTGCGCTTGGTGCATGGCATCCTTCGCCAGGGTTTACTGTCAGGGCCACACAGGAGGCTCGAGCAATGGGTCGCAAGAAGGCCTCACTCTGCTTCCAAAAGCCGATAGCTGCCTGGAGCGACCTGAGCAAACGTCAGGTCATCCTTGTCCCAAACGCCTCCCTCTCAAAGCGGAAGGCACAGTGTATATAAGCTTGCAGACAAGGAGCTGCAGTGCTGGCACAAACTCTTGGAGATTGCACTGAGCGACGGCTGAGTGCTGCCTGCGGGGTACGACGATCATAGGAGTGTGTCACTACTGTGACAAATGTGCACATCAGGTGGGATGCTCGGTTCAAAGCGCAGCAATGGCTTGCCCACGCCTGGGTATTTCGAGACGGTCCAAGCATGCCAGAACCTATTTCGCCGGCTCACAAGCTCCCGGCACGTCCTGCGTCTCGCGGAAGAGTTCCAAGGCCTCTGAACTTGCATCCTAGTTCTCTCGGTTGCACAGAGCCGGCGCAACACTCGTGGACTACAACAGGACCGGGCTCCGCTCTTGTCAGCCCTTGTGTTGCTGCGCCGGACTGTTGTCCAAAAGACTTTGCGGCAGTGCGGCTGTAGCACTTTGCTTGCAGAATCCGATAGTCTGAAGCCCGTCCGTGCACCGTGACAACAATACGGGTTGTTGGCCACTCCGTTCCCTGGCCTGTGTCGCCAGGCGATGTCCTTCTTTGTCGCATGCCCTGCGATCCTTGTGTACGGTGGCCACATTCTGCATCACAGGCTCAACTCCGTGACAGTCTTCACGCTGGTCATTCTGGGATTTGCCGTGGCTTCTAGCTCAGGGGTTGGACAGTTCCAAGCATTGCCCCCACGCAGAAGCTCAGTCCATGACACCCTTGAACTTGATGAAGATCTTTGCCTTGGGCGTCAAAGTCACAGACTGAAGTGCACGGCTCCCCCCGCACAAGGCGACCGAGCAAGCGCCGGCGATCGCCGGATCAGATCACGCTACCTGACGTGCCCTGAGCGACTGGGCCATGACCGCCAGAGTTGAAGCCTCCAGACCTTCCGCGCCAAGGCGTGGCATTTAACCGTCACTTCGAAGCATTGAAGCGGCAGCTTTGTCCACGGGCTGAAGCTGTTTTGAAGGGAACCGGCGCCTTTGTCGGCCTCGTCGACAGCGAGATCTCGGGCTTGACCCGCCTTGTTCTCGGAAAACTCCGTGCTTTTTCTCGCGCGTGCTAACAAACCTATAGACGGATTTGGCCAACTCCCAGGCCCTGGCGGCTTTCAATGCCTCCGCGCGCTTCTTCTGACCACGCCTGGCTGCACCCCGAATGCGTGGCTAGATGCTGCGCAGACTCCAAGCCAAAGTATCAGATGCTTTATGCAATGTATACAGCATCCATGCGAAAGTGCAACATGCGATGCAGGCCTTAACAAGTCAACGCATGCAGCCCGACCTGTCCGAGCTAACGTCTGCCATGGCTTGCAAGATGCGCGCCTGTCAGGCAACATCCGGCAACACAGTCAGCAAATCTGCATGCAAATGCTGCTTGATGCAACGACTCCTTAGATCGTACAGAGTGGCAAAGGGGGAAGCTCAGAGAGTCTACACAGGTGAAGATGCTCCTCGGCAGACTTCGACGTGTATCTGGCGGAAGTCTGGAACACAGCCAACCTTAGCCGGGACACGTTGGATTCGGGCACTCCTGTCTCGGTTGCGTGCTCTGCGTCTCTCGTAGGGCCCGGGCTCGTCCCGCAGAAGGCGGTCGGCCTCTTTTCGGCGGTCCTGACACCAACTCGAGGCCAAAGGACCGGAGTGATGCAACTGGCACGTCTTGATACGCCTTGGGTCCGCTGTGACTTATCAGCACAGTAGAAGACAGTCTGGCAGTAGACTCGGAAAGCTCTTCTCCCTGCGGCGAACTGACAGGCCCTTGCAGCGCAGAAAAAGTTCGAAAGATTTCGGAAGCGGGAAGCATATGCCTCATAGCCAGCACGCGACCATCGCACGAGATTTGACTCCGGGGACCCGGTTGTCTCAGAGCAGTAACAGTACGACGCTCGAAATGGCAAGTTTTGCTCCCATGGTCAGGTCAGAAGCACATGCCCTGCTCGTGCTAGACGAGGGCCTGGTGAATCATCGCGCAGGAGACGAGACGTGCTGCATCTGCCAGCCTTGGAGCTCCATGACGAACACAAGACTGTCACAAGTGATCGTGGATTCGCTGTCCCGCAACGACCGCTCACAGATCTCACAGTAGCTCTTCGTCGAATCCTCTTAGCCGTAGTCGAAGCGATCGTGGCAATGTGACTGCAAGAGGGGTCAGGAAGCGACCCACGTGAATCGCCGCATTGCCGAAAAACAGAAACGGACCTGCGATAAACTCCGGAAATGCACGCGGGTCCAATTCCAACATGGACCGCAACACCAGCAACACCCTTACTGGACAATCCTTGTCGGCGACACCTCTCTGCCAGCCGAAGGCCTTCATCGATCGCCTCCGTGCGCAGGCACGCCGCCTGGGCGCCGCACCAATCACTGAAAAATTGAAACCCGTCGGCTATTACGCTCTTCGAATCTGGCTGCCAGCGGTCAAATTCTCCCGTCAGGATGTGGCTGCTCGTAGCAGCAGCGTTGACCCTTCCGCGGACGGTCGGAGTACTGACTGCTTCCCGCCTGAGCATGGCATAGCATGGCGCGACAGGCCCGACGTGACAGTATCAAATTTTGGACAAAACTGGCAAAGGGCATGTGCGATAGTTGAAGCTATACTGCTCGTCTGTCCAGATGGCCCTTCTTCCGCACAACAGCCGGTCAAACAAGCAAAGGCACAACTCTTCTTCAACGGTAACAGTTACAGACAGATTCATGCTTTGGCGGGAAGAGCCCATTCAGAGGACTGCCTTCGCACGCATCAGCTGCCGCATAGCGCCTTCACTTGCATTCAACCACTCACGGCTTCAGGAGTTTCTCAGGAATCGGAAATCCTGCAGCAACTGAAACACTCAATGCTGTGTGCAGATACCTCGTGAGTTCATCAGTCCACATGGGCTCTGTCTGAGCTTGAAAAGTTGCTCGTAGCCGTGGGGAATAATAAGTGCATCAATGCCGTTCTGTTTGGAGTTGGGTTTGGGCTTCGCTTCTCTAAGCTTCAGCCGCTAGGGCGTACATGGGGTGTTCTGGGGAGCCCGAAACGCTGAAGTAAGGAGAAGACATGCAGCCAAGTGATGCTGTGTATTCCCCAAACCGAATGAAGCAGACTGATGCTGGGCTCTTGCTGCTCATGGTGCTGCCTCGAAGCCGAGATCGCAAGTGTGCCGGCTTCGTCAAATGCTTGCATCCAGACACAAGACGGGCCAGACTCGGAAGGAGACGGTGGAATCGAGAACATAGGCACTTTGAGTCACGCTCCCGTCTGGTGCCAGGAACAATGCGATCGACATCCTGTGTTGAGGCATGTTGAGGCGCCACGGACACCTTTTCAGCTCGAGTGGGGCGACCTGAGGCGTCATGGAAAACATAGAAGCACTCTCACACCGCAAAGCCCCAGGTTCTTAGACCGCTGCATGCAGGCTCTACATCTTTCGGGAGATTGGACCTTCTCGAAGAGCTAGGCCATCTAGGGTCAACCTCTCTTGGGCTCCAAGAGGTCCAACTTCCAGAGCCTCTAAGGTCTCTACCGGCACTGTCAGCCCTTCGGGTAGTTCGCCGTCTGCCGTCACTTCCCCTTTGCCCCTGGGAAACAAAGCCTCAAGGCGTCTCGAACCTGAAAGATGCGGCGGCGTAACCCCGGGAGCCGCAGCTCATGTCCCTCTTCGCCGGTGTTCGGCAGTGCCTTTGCTGTGCCTGCAGCACGGGTCGAAAGGTCTCGCTTTGCCAAAGCGCCGGTCCCAGCTCTGGAACACAAAGTAGCTCTTCGAGTGGGGAAAAGCATGCCGCATACGTTAGGCAACGTTGGATGCAAGGATGGCATTTCACAGTTCAGATTCGCAACAGCTAGTCCAGAACTGCCTGGAAACAGCGCAGCTGTTGCGATCGTGAACGAACCAGGCACCTGCGCTATCCCGCACTGCGACATTGCTGTACACAGGTTTTGGGGTCTCGGCATTTCGGTACAGGAGTCCAACACACGGAGCTCGTCGATTCGTTGAGACGTGGGTTTGAATGAATGCCCTGACACCCCTCTTTGCTTTACAAAATGCTTGGCACGCATTAGCCGCGCCTTTTCATGGGTTGGTCACGAGGCGACACGCTTCTTGCACGCTGCAAGCGGCAGCTCAAAAATCATCCAAGGATGCAAGGAGGCAACATCTCGTGAGGATCGAGTTTTCAAAGTTGTTTGCAGATTTGGGCTGCACGACGCGGTCCAAAGTGGAGAGTCCCACTACACCGTTTGAGCGGCCTTAAACCAACTCAGAAAATCTCCGACTCTCTCGATGAAGAGCGGCTTCGATTTGCATCGCTCTCAAAAGAGACAGCAGGCACTCGTAGAATGCAAATTCTGTCTTCGGCGACGCCCCACTCCCAATCTTGGGTTTCTCAGACACTGCTTTGGCCTGTGCTTTATACAGCTTTAGAGGAGTGGGTCTCGCTGAAGACTACCATCCCTCACATGCTCCAAACTGAAAAAACGGGAGTGTGCACACCTGCGATCTGCATCAACTTCCCTAATCCGACCCTCTCAATCCAAACCTGAGACTTACTACAAGCAGCAATGGAACAAAAGAAGTCATGCTGTGCAGAACGCCGGGCTAGCTCGGTCGGGGCCCTGCAAGCAAGGTGACAAAACAAAAGAGATGTTCGTCTCAAACCCGAGTGACAGAGTGCCTTAGCCTCCGCCTCCAGCGATCAAGATTGTCGATGCATGTTCACTGCGAACCTGCACCTGACAGCGTCGGCGATGTCGAAATGGAAGAGCTGGCACTCACCTGGAACTCAGACAGCTGGCCAATCTGAAGAGACGACGAGGCAAAGCTTTCGAGGCCGGGCAAAAACAACGGCGCCACGACCCTGTCGATGCCCGCCAAAGCTACTTGATTTGGGTATCGTGGCATGCGTCCTTCAGCACATCTAGTGTCGCAGTTAGCAGCTCTGCAGCCTCCGAGTCCGCACAGATGCCAGAAGAAATGAATTCGAAAGCGACTCACTGACCGGGAAGGATGCAAAGCCAGACACACCCGGAATCTGAACCCGCCTCCCAGGGCACGAACTTGTCGCCTGCAGCACAGGATTTTCAATCCGGTCTGACAGTGACAAGCACAGACCATGCAATACCGCAATTTGACAGCCTAAACACCTCCGGATAGTTCCCGTGGCGAAGTCTAGTGCTGCTTCTGCTTTCAAGCTTTCCCGTCCATCGTGGAGTACTACTGCAGCAGATTCTGGGCCTTGCAACCGCGCAAGGTGCTCATTCAGAACGAGCAGTCTTTCCTGGCTATCGAGTGAGCTCGTCGCGCAAGCTTCCACATGCGCCAGGGTCTCGCACACTTCCCCGGCCTCCAAGCCAAGGAGTACCTGGCATGCTAAACTGCTACTGCTGATACCACGAGTAGTCGTGCTCACTTCTGCCTCAGCTTGGAGTACTGATCGCGATTCCACACACTTCAACCATACCAGGGACTGGACATCCGGAGTCCTGAAAGATAACACTAATAACATGCCCTGACCATCCCTGACCCCTCAAACTCTGAAGCCCGCAACCGGAACGTGCGAAGTGCCCAAAACGGACATGAACTGCCCTTTAGGATGCGCATCCTGCAATCAAGCTCACAACATTGATCGGACAGAACGAGAAAACGAGAGGTGGAGAGGGGGAACGGACCTTATGGGGGCTGAGGGATCACCAAAAAAACGTAACTGCATCCAACAATACAACTGCCAAGGATTAAAACAAAATGCGTTTACAAAGGCTGAACTGCGTTTCTTTGAAACAAACTATTGGGCTATTGGGCAAGCAACTGGAGCGTTCAAGCGTTCAATGGTCAGCAAGCTACTAACAAATGGGGGATTGTAGGCAAGCTTGGGGACGCGAAGTCGTGCTGCATGCTAGTCGGAATTTCATTTGTCTGACTCTTTTGTTTTTTGAGGCCTGTCCCCGGCGCCTTCTCGTAGTGTTGCAGGATTGCTTGAGGATCTGGCACGACGGTTGCCCCCTTAGGAGTCGCGCTCCCAGGCATAGACACTTGTGCCCGAAGGCTCTATCTCAGCACGCTGTGAGAAGCTCAATGCCATGAAAGTCCAACTCCAGGGGTCTCAGCTCTAGTTTCTCCTTAGTCTCTTCCATGCGCAGCCTTCTTGTGAACAGAGCCAGCTAAAGTGATGACTTCCGGTTTCACGAAGCAGAAATGGCCAAGTGGCACTCGCCAATGCGCGTTGTGCAAGATTCCGCCTGAAGGGCAAAAGTCGAAGCCATTTTGCCGCTGACCGGTTCAAAACTGCAGATGGAGTTCTTCATGCGCAACCACGCACTGAATCTTCTTACCCGGAAGACATGTTCGCGATGCTTCGCCCACACCTTCGCGTGATCGATGAACCTGGCCAGGTCAATTTCCCCGCAATCCACAAACACGGGCAGATGGCATGTAGCCACAAAAGGATCAATCGCGCAGCAGGTCATACGGCTGGGTGCAGTGTCTTGGCGGTGCAAGGTCAAGACACTGCAAACACGAGTGCAGGGCGGAGCTTGCGAATCTGGCGCTCCACATCCACTTTGTCCTGCCGGACCAGACATGGTCGCATGCTGAGTGTTGAAAGGCCGGTCAGAGGCTGATTGATCGCCTGTCTCAAGGTGATTGGCTTCGGGCAAAATTAAAATGGAAAGCCTGTTTCCAAAAAGTTTCATGCAACTTCGAGCCCACGCCAGTCTTGACTCCACCGTCCCAGCGCCAGTGATACCAAGGTCTATTCCCAGGGCAAATCACGGAAAGCATCTGAACACATCACAGGGAAGCAGTTTCAGCATGCACAAGGGTGCGCTCTGGCTTGCAGCTCCTGGTAGACCGTCTCGATTTCAGACCTAAGAGAACAGAATTGCAAACTGGCTCCAACATGCAAAGCCGGTCAGAGACCCAGTCTTACGCCGCTCTCAGATGCCGGCCGCGGCTTCGGCTGTGGGCAGTAGAAGAGACTTAGTCACAAGGGACATGACTGACGTCTGTTTTTGGGGGACCTGCCGTCCTGCCATCAACCATACGTACGCCAGTCTCCAATAGAACCCACCGGTACTTCCCTTGAAGTATGTTGCTTGTACCCCACTGGTACGCACGACCATGAAAACAAAAAAGCTGTTCAGCTTGTGGCACCAGTCATACAGGAAGGGGAACAATCGGCTGCACAAGCTGCTGAGTCTGCTCGTGATCCTGCAACAGTTGGGGGTTTTCATCTGCGGCTGACTGCTAGACATGTCACTCTGCAGATAGTTTGCAGGGCGTTTTGGGACAATTGCATTCCTTCCGTAACCAAAACATCAAATCGATCTCATAACCGGAGTCGGACCTCTTCAAACATCCCATGGAGCCTTGGTGCATGAGCTGCAAACTTCGCTTTGGGGATGTTCTTTGTACCTTGCCTAGCTACAAGTATGGTCCATTTCAACGCGGGAGGGATGGGGGGACAGGGGAAGGGGCGGAGCGAGCGGGTGAACGAGTGAGCGAGACAGAGATTGGGAGAGAGAGAGAGAGAGAGA